AGATTTTATTTATTTATTTGACAGAGAGAGACACAGCAAGAGAGGGAACACAAGAAGGGGGAGTGGGAGAGGGAGAAGCAGGCTTCCCGCTGAGCGGGGAGCCCGATGCGGGGCTTGATCCCAGGACTCCAGGACCATGACCTGAGGTGAAGGCAGACGCTTAACGACTGAGCCACCCAGGCCCCCCTCTTCTCTATTTTGGATATTCATCCCTTGTTAGCTGTAGACATTTTAAATACATTTTCCCATCTTGTCATCTCTTAATATTATGTATGATATTTTTACTTGAATGTAAAGCCCTCTTATATATTGAAGTACCTTTTTTTTTTTTTTTCACCTTCTGGTTTATGGTTTTCAAGTTGTGTTTTAAAGAAGGCCTTTCTGACCCATGTCACAAAGATGTGCACCTATATTTTGTTTCATTGGCTTCATGATTCTGTCTTCCCTGTTGCGGATTTTAATCCAACTGATACCTACCATCATATACGGTGTTTCATGAAGATCCAGTTTTACCGTTATCCACATGAAGAGTCAGCTTTCCCACAAATGTCATTCTTTCTGCTTTTGACTTACGGTGTCAGCTTTATTGTATATTAGGTTTGTGTAGCTGAGCTCTTTCTCTGAGTTCTTTAAGTTCTTGGTTTGTTTTTTCTGGTGGTAATAACTCTCTGCTTTTCATGTGATGTCTTTGAGAAAAGTCTTCCATGTCTGGTACTCTACTTTTTAAGGTTTGACTTAGCTGCCTGTGGACCTCTAGCCTTGTGTGTAAATTCTAACATAAGTTTTATAAGTTCCTCAAAAACTTACAACTTTCCTTTAGAATTGTATTGAATTTATAGATTAATTCAGAGAAAATTGACACTTTTATAATATTAACTCATCTCCAAAAGTTTGGAATGTCTTTCCTTTTATTTAGATTGCCTGTGTCCTTTATCAGTTTTAGTTTTCTGCCTAGAGGTCTTGGGTATTCTTGGTTAAGTTAATCCTCAAATACTAACTTCAAAAACCAGTCTGCTATTTTTGCCAATTATATGGGCCTCTTCCCGGGGATCCTGCTGCCATCAGGGGACTTGCCCTGGGTTTGTTCATAGAATGTCAGTAATATACATCAGTGATACTGAGTTTTCTCTAGTTGTCCAAATTCTTGCCTGCTAGAGAAAGGGAGGGAGAAGATGCGAGTAAGAATACTAGAGAGGGAGGAAGTATGGTTTGTTGTTCCCTAAGCTGCTTTGCTGATCACACCCCATTGCCAAAAACCTAGACTGCTGATAGCTGTCATGGGTTTTTCCCCTTTCTCATGGGGAAGAACAGGACTCTGCACTGGGCAAGAACCCCTGCTCCCACCCCGCTCTCTGCAGCCCCCTGTGCCACCTCAGTGCATATCTCCTCAGTCTCCGGGTCCTCTTGCTTGTCCTGCCCTTGACTGCAGCTATGAGATTTCCTCCCCAGAGGCTTTGTGAGAATGGGTTTATTCTCCTTTGAAATGAGCTCCCGTAGGAATCAGGAGAAGAAGCCAGAAAGTGGCCTTTTCTCTGCCAAGGCTGCTGTTGTCCTGTTGTCTCACCTGAGGGATGGTTAGAGGCGAGAACTTGTCAGAGAGGAAACTCCAGTCCGGCTCAAGAGAGTGAGGGAAGGGCAGGCTTTTCTAGTGTGAGCCGATCTCTTCCAAGTTAGAAGTTTTTAAATAATAAATGTCACTGCCTACTTAGCTCTAAAGAGATTAGCTTGTTTACAGAAATGCTGCCCTCCCACTGCTTCTCCAGCAGTTTGAGGCTGAAGGCTGACAGATTGAGCCAGACCCTGAGCTTGGTCTCCTGATCTCGACTCCACAGTGCCACTTTCCTGATGTGAATATTCACTCAAATTCCATAGGTTAATCGGATTATTTCAAAGGTCTATGGCCAGATTGCCCCAGACATGCCTTCTCGTGTACTTCACACTCAGCTCCATACCGACCATCTGGCTTTTCAAGAGGACCTTGCAGTTGATGGCGGTGCTTCTCGCCCTTGTTCGATGTGTTCCTGTGTGCTCCTACTCGGACCCTTCCCTGGTTTCCCAGCAGGAGTCCAGCCTTCCTGTAGCTCTGCATTCAGTGAATACCTCTCAAAGTTCTGAAGTGCCCGTGGCCCGGGGCAGTGTGAGTGCAGAGGGGGAAGGACCCCTCTAAGGAGTATGTGGTCTGCTTTTGAGGTTCAGACCACGTGGAGACAATGGCCAGATGGCCCATCATGTGCAGGGGTGCGTATCATCATCATGCTATCTGCACATGTACCTGCCGTGTGGAAAAATGCCCGGAGACAGTTGGTTGGAGAGTGATCTCAGAATGGGCTTGCAGCTAGGCTGGCAAGACTTAAAAAAAAAATGGGAACTTCCTACCTTCCCTCTTTCCGCAGAAGAAGGAAATCTAGCACTTCCTCTGCTTCCAGATGTCAATCCCATCTTTTCTTCCAGTTTGTTTTTAATCTGGTACTTTCACAGGAATCCTTTGGGTTTGTGTAATGCTCAAGAGCTCACTCAGGTGGTCATTTACACTGGGACATGGTGGGGAACCCTGAATCTCTTAAGCAGCTGGAAAAAAAGGTATTTTTGCTTACTATAAAAATAATATGAATTCATTATAAAATATGAAGGAAATATAGTAATAGTTTTCAGAAATTCAATATAAATAATCTCTAATACCACCCCAGAGATAATTCTTTCTTGTCTTTTTTTCATGATGTCTTATATGGATTTTGTCAATGTCAACATGTATTTTGATTCCCTTGGCATTATACTGAATATACTTTCTGTATCCTGCTATAAATAATTTGCAAGCATTTTCCCACATCGTGAAAATTGTTTACTAATGCCATTTACAATGGCTGTTTAATACTCTGTCATAGGATTATATCCAAATTTGTTGAACTGTTTCCTGTCATTGGACTTGGATGTCCTCTGCAGATTTTTGCTGTTATGAGTAGTGTCAGCCTGAGCATGCTGCTACCTCAGTGTTTGCACATACCTCAGATAATTTCCTGTGGGTAGATCCCGCCGTGTGGATTGGAGAGAGCTGTTTCAGTGGAGAGTACTGCGGGAGTGGTGTGGATTAGCATGCTGGCGCCCTGGCTGAGGCACGGGTCAGGGCGCGACCTCTCTGAGCTTGTATTGCCTTTTCCGTAGAATGGGAGATAAATACCAACACCTGTCTCGTGAAGCTGCTGTGATGACTGAAGTTTAGCAAAGTGTCTGGCATATTTTTTTTATAGATGCCTCATTACTGTTGGTTCTTATCCTTCTCTCTTATCTCCTCTCTCTGGTTATGCCAGTTAGTCTGTCATATAAGAAGGGGGAAGCTCACTGGATTGGCAGAAGTGTTCCTGAGGGGAGCAGGGAGGAGAACGAAGGGTGGCAGGTGACACCCCTGCTGTTTTCAGGCTTGGTGCCTCATGAGCGTTAGTTTGTTAAATCCTCATGGCTACATTTCTCAAAGTGGGGTATGCACACTACTAGTGGGATCTCAGATCATTTTAGGTCATACCAGATGCACATTTTAAATTACCATTTAGATTTATATATTTATTTTCATGTGTATTAGGGGAAAAACGCATGAACATGTAAACCTCCTGGTTTTCTAAATGTTATTGCTTAGCACAGCGGTCCTCCTTCTCAGTAGAGCCAGATAGTAAATATATGCAGTTTTGCAGTATTATTTAACTCTCAATATTGTAATGTGAAAGCAGCTGTAGACAATACGAAAACAAATGCGTGTTTGCTAATAAAACTTTATTTACAAATCAGGCAATGGCAAATCTGGCCCACAGACTCTAGGGGTTTGTCAGTTCTTAGACTACTTTTTTTTTTTTTTAAGATTTTATTTATTTACTTAGGAGAGAGACACTGAAAGCACAAGTGGGGGTAAGGGCAGAGGGAGAAGGAGAGAATCTCAAGCCGACACCATGCTGAGCACAGAGACCAATGTGGGGCTTGATCCCATGGCCCTGAGGTTATGACCTGAGCCAGAATTAAGAGTTGGACGCTTAACTGACTGAACCACCCAGGAGTCCCCTTAGACTACTTTTTAAAAACTTACCCTTGTATTAAGCTATTTAAGATGGGATAAAGTTATGACAGGCAGCATGAAAGTGGTATGTCCATGGTTGACATTAGTGGAAATGCTGTTCACAACAGCCAAGTTCATAAATGAGCGTTAGTCTTAAGAAGTCCAGGTAGCATGGTCAAGAACTAGTGGAGCTGACGTTCAAACCAGAGTCTGCTTGATTGCCAAGGTCACTCCCCACTTCCTTCCTCCACTTCTCGATATGTATGAAGTCTTTCCTCTGTTTTGCCATCCTGTCATTATGTGACCGACACACAGGAGCTGGAAGGCCTTTCATCATCAGCCTCAAACACCTAACCTTCTTGGCTCTTTGCTGTTGAGGGGCCATCCCATATTGCTTCTCAGTGAGCCTCCTCACTAGAACCATCAGTGGCTCCTCACATGCTCTGCAAGACGCTGAAAGACAGTGTGTGTCAGTGATGCCGCAGCTGCCCAGGCACAGAACTGTAACATGGCCCACTGCCCTTCTGCAGGCATTGGACAACACAACCAAAGCTGCTTGGTTCCTATTACACACATCTATCCTTCTCTAGGCCATCATTCAGTCACATTCCCTGATCGTGCTGTATCCAGGCTTTTCTTGTTCCATGAGGACAAGATTAAAGACCAGGAGAGGAGCTGGGAGGGCACCATTACCTTGCTTGTTGTTCTGCCTCTGATTTATACATTCCCTTCATCTCTGGGCCTCAGCTTCCCTTGATCTATAAAACAGAAAAAGAGATTTAGTCTTAAAGATAGTAGGGAAAGGTTTCATGGGATCATATGGGTCACTATTTTGAAAAGGTTTTAAAGCCATCAGATATTACTTAAAGTCCAACATTCTCATGAAAGCAGCAGAGGACAGAAAAGAGGATTTTCTTTTTCCTTTTGCTTCCAGTCACCTTCGGCCTTTTGCTCTTAGAACACCCACAGTTGAGAGGCAGGAAAAGGCAGCCACTGGGTAACCAGGATCCTTGTGGGATCAGAGCCATCCAGTGGCTGCCAGGTCTCCACTGGTCAGTGGCTTATAAATAGAACATTTCCCTTTTTAAACCTGAGAAGGATGGGCAGCATTAGTGGGTATGGCGGCCTGACCTCCTGAGTGCTGGCCCATGAGGCAGTCAGCTGAGTACACCTTCCCCTTCAGCTTTCCATCCACACCTTCCAGGCCAGGCCTGTTAGGAGACAGGCACTGGCTCTCTCCCTTGTCTGAATTCCCTTCCAGCCCCCCATCCCCACTCCTCTGGGCCCTTTTGCTTTCTCCTTTCCCCTCCCTCCAATGCTATGGCAGGTTTCTGTGGCTACCACTTTTATCTTCTGAGCCAGGGGCAGGCAAGATGGTATAATTCTAGCTCTCTCAAGTGCTGATTTTCTGCACTTCGCTTTCCATTATGACTTGGTGTGTGCAACACAGTGAATGTGGCCCGCATGGAACTCAAATTATTTCCAGTTGTGCTATAATGCCCTAGCTTGAGAATAACCCTGGCTGAAGGGTTGGGGGCTAGCAAGAGAGAAAGGGGAAGGGACAGCTTGTTCTCTCAGAGATTTTTATTATATGGGATCTCAGCCATTTTGTTTGGTGAGACCCTATTCCTCAAGGACATGACTGGTAATGGTGTTCCTCCGGCTAGCCTAGATATTCAGAAGCCTTTCTGTTTGTCCTAAGTGACACTTACCAAGCCATCCTCTCTCCCAGCCAACTTTAGAATGATAGATGCAGCTATGGTGTGACTTTGCTGTGGCCTAATATCCCTCCTTCTCTTAGAAGTGTAGGCTCTGTATCAACAGCAGACCATGGCCTGGGCAGGTGTGAACCACCCCTTGGCATTCTGATTTGGGCTTCAGCCAAGCAACAGTGAGCAGGTCTCTGGTTGCATCTTTAAGTTCTAGAGTCCAGTGCAAGGAGTTGTTGAGGCAGAGACTGAAAGATTTTCCTCAAGGCTCTCGATCAATGTTTATTGAGCACATACTTAATTACTGGGTAGTGTGCTCAGGGTTTGATATATGTTATGTTGTTTGCTCCTTATAAGAACCCTATGAGGTAGATGGTATTATAGACCCCATTTACAGATGAGAAAACTGAATCCTCCTTCTCAGTACATACTTGTGGTCTCTCAGGGTCTTTCCTTCCCACCCTGATTAGAGTGTTCAGTGTGTGCAAGATTGAGCGGAGGCTATCAAGTCCTCTTGCCCACAGTGGGGATAAATGTTGAGTAGTGGTTGGGAGAGTGGGCTCTGCAATATTATTACATACATGGGTTGGAATCCCAGCCTCCTGACTTACTGGGTGTGTGACCTTGGGAAATTAATTTCCCCAGGCCTCAGGTTTTGTTTTTTTTGTTTTGTTTTATTTTTTAATTTGTGATATCAGTATAGCTTTAGTACCTACATCATTGGATTGTTGGATGGATTAAATGGGATTAGGATGGAAATCCTTAGCTCGGTGGTGCCTGGTATTCTAAGCAGTCATTAAATGTTATTATCTGCTGTTGTTGTTATCAATAATGTCATTACCCCAAACCAGAGGCTATTCATATAAAAGCATGAAAGTAGACAGTCTGCTTACAGTTCCTCAGAGTGCCTTCACAGACATTGCCTTGCTGATTTTCACAGCACCTGATCTGTGCAGATGAGAAGGGTCAGAGAGGCGAAGTATGCCCATCTTCCACAACCAGTTGGCGGTGACTATAGCCGCAAATGTTAGTGTTAGGCCTCTGATTATGAACGTCCTCCCCTTCCTTGCCCTTTGCTGCCTCAGTTGTTGTGACCAAAAAATACCTGAACCATTCCTAGGGCAGATCAAAGTGAGAAGACAGGTAGGTAAAGGCACGAAAAGGATCTAGGTGGGCAGAAGACATTGGTTCTCTGCTTGAAACACTTCCTCTTTCAGAAAGCTGGTGACGATTTCTTTTGGTTGAGAAATCAGTACACAACCACCCATACCTCAAGACAGAAAGGAATTGAGGCCTGTGGACTGTAATTCCTTCTCCGGACGTCCAGACTCTTGTGTAGGAGACAGGTGGTCCTGATGAAGCTGGTTGGCATTACCACGGGGTGCATTAGGCATTGCTCTTTCACTGCTGTCCTGATTGGGAATTTTAAGGTGGACTGGGAGACTGCAGTTGTCAAAACCCACAAGGAAATAGTCTACTGCAAGCCGATCTGCCGCCCTCAGCCTTTACTATACAAGAACCCAGACTCTGCCACTTTGGCTGCGGTGTCTTGCTGAGAACTGGAATGCTCTTTACAGGTATCTTAGAGCCTCTCTTGACTCAGCTGAGAGCTGGTAGGTTTATTCCAGGCCAGGCAGGGATTTCATCTCTTTTCCTGCTACCTAGGTTACTTTGTTCACTCTATGTCCCTCTTGGCTTATTTTTTTTCTATGTGTCTCCAGAAACCATGAAAAAGAAGATAGGTGCCTTTATATCTGGTAGGCTAGGGAAAAAAAAAAGTTCCAATGTGCTGTATTCATGCTTAGAGGTCAGGGGATGAATGAGATCTGGGTCAGCGCTATTTGTCTTGTGCTTCTCATGACAGCGCCCCTGAACTCTAAAAGGTACCAGTGTGTTCAGCCAGCTGCTCAGCATTCGAGGCTCCTGGAGTGTGGGGACTTTTTTTACCTATTGGTTTCTGGTGTCTCAGCAGGTGAAAATGTGGATTGTATTTGTTGCTTCATCTGGGAAATATTTATTGATGCTACAGTAATGAACAAGGCAGATAAAGTCCCTGCTCTCATGGAGTTATACTAGTGAGAGAAACTGACAGACAGTAAGTAAACAAAAGTATACTTTCAGGTGGAGAGAAGGGCTGGGAGGAAAAAAGAGCAAAGGGATAGGGACTAACAAGGCAAGGGGGAGCCATTCTAAAAACCTGAAGCAGGGAGGCCTCTCTGAAGAGGTTACATTTGAGCAGAAACCTGAACAAACGGAGGGTGTAAGGATGTCAGGAGCTGGCAGAGGAACCCTGAAAGTGCAGGGAATAAATCAGCTGTGTTCAAGGCATGTCAGGAAGGATCGTGGTGACTGGATTGGAGGAGGCCAGAGTGAGAGTGGTCAGGTGGGCTGGGACTAGAACCATGTGAGGCCATGGTCAGGAGCTAAGCTTGTGTTCTAAGTGTCATGAGAGGTCCCTGGAGAGTTGTGATCAGGCAAGTGACTTATGAGCCAATGTGTATTTTTAAAAGATGTCTCTGGCTCCTGGTTGAGAATAAACTGTATGGGGTGAAAGGAGAAGCAGTTGGGAGGCTAGTGATTAGAGCCATCCAGGCGAAAGATGATGGTGGCTTGGATCAAAGTATTCGCAGTGGAGATGGTGAGAAGCATCTGGGTTCTGGATGTGTTTTTAACTGGTGCCTGACGGGGCTGGTTAATGGATTGGAGGGGGAGAGAAAGCAAGGAATCCAGGATGACTGTACTGAAGTAGGAAATCTTGCTGGTAGAATATGGTACCTTCCCATCTTGTCCTTCCAGCCAGGATCAATGTAGTGCCTGGCTGGGGACAATAGTTCCCAAATGTGTTATTTTTCTATCACTGACTTCATATTTTGTTTTGTTCTGTTTTTTACATGTATGTATACCAACTGTATTACTATTGACCTACTCTTTTTTTTAAATCAATTCACTCTTTTTTAAAAAAAGATTTACTTATTTTAGAGAGAGGGAATGAGCATGAGTGGGGCGAGGGGCAAAGGGAGAGGAAGAAGCAGACACCTCGCTAAGCACAGAGGCTAACGTGGGGCTCCCTCCCAAGACCCTGAGATCATGACCTGAGCCAAAATCAAGAGCCAGCTGCTTAACCAACTGAGCCACCCAGGCACCCCTCAGTTCACGCTTTTTAACTTAAATTTATTTTTTATTTATTTATTTATTTTTAAAGATTTTATTTATTTTTTTGACAGAGAGA